AGCACGCAAGCGAGCACACGTGAGCTGGAGCGAGCCATGTCGTAAGCCCTGGAACAAAGAGAGCTGCACAGGAGCGGCCTTCAAAGAGCTCAAGTTCAAGCCAAAAGCATTGCGGGGAGAGATCTGTTCCCTCAAACACTCTATTTCTTCCCCAATTTGCTTGCTTCTCTGCTCCGTCAGGGAAAACAAATCGCATCCCTCAAATGGCTGGAGCGGATGGATGCTCTTTAAGAATCAAAGAACCAATGATGGTCACGGGAAATCGCTTTTGTAGGTTTTGGCCAACTACGCGAAATGCAAGACCGCTCTTCACCAAATTTGTCATAGCATGTTTTGGCTGTTGCTCATATGTTCAATCCTGCCACACTCAAATTGGAATTAGATATTTGCAGTCAGTTCTCACATCCTGAACTTGAGCAGCACTCTTGTTTTGCAGCAATTGTCTTAAATTCAGCACTCAAGCTCGGCCAGAGAAATTCAGTGATGGATAATGTGGTGGCCGTGGCCAAACCATCTTACAAAGGCTTGAGGACTTTGTTGTACGGACCGTGAAATGATACGTGTCTGCCAAGCCTGAATCCATGCATGAATCTCTGCAACCTTCAGGAGCCTCGGCCTCAGCGCCACAAATCAACAGGTGACAACTCAAACAAAAGGAAGCCACCACAAAAACACATGCGATCAAGACACAAAAGTTGCGGCCTTCCTATCTTGACTAAGTTGATGAAGTAACCACCGCAACAAAGCAACAGAGTGATCAAACTCACAACAAGCAAAACAACTTGTGAGCACAAGGCCTGAAAAACTGGCCAAATGCATTCGTGGAGAATCCAGCGAAGGACGAAGCTGGAAAAACAGGTAAATGTTTAACTTCTCAAAAAAGACTTGACACAAAAAAGCACATTTCCCGCCAACATGTTCCCCAAGAAAAGCGACTGACTTGACATTCCAAAGAACTTGTACCTCCCGTACATCCAATGAACCTCCCAAAGAAGCAGGAACCAGGTCGACCCTTTTCTGAAGCCCAAACATCGCCCGCTTTCCGACTGCAAGCACTAAAAGCGTCCTCAGGAGATCCCAAAGCTTGGAACATGGCCAAAGCTGGTTAGACCCTAGGGCTCCAACCACCTTCTGAGATGGTTGGGGTGGGTGCCAGGGGGTCTGTGCCCACCAGTCACCTGAGGAGATGGGACAGGAGCCCATCCCGGAGATGCCGAAAAAGTCCATGGTCCTTTTTAGGGGCAGCTTCCATCTGCTACCGCCCTCCTAGACACCTGAAAACCACGTCTTCCACGGGCGCCTGAGGCGTCCGCACCGGAACGAAGTCGTCAGTCCGGCTCCGCACGGCGACCGGACCGGACCGTTTGGTTCGGGGGGGTCGACTGGTTGGTTCACTCCTCTGGCGAACGACCGGACTGGACCGGACTGGGCTCCACCGGACCGGCCTTGAGGAGATGCTGGGGTGACCGTCAGAAGGCCGTCGAGATCAGGACGTGCTTCACCTTGAGATGGGTCAGCCACGGAGGGCCCCTGGAGCAGGTGTTTTTGCTTGCCACGGGCTCCTCCAATGGGCATGGTTTTTGGATGGAGGGATTTCTACCTGAAGAGGGAGACATTAGATAGTTTTGCAGCTTTCCAGTTGCATGTCGAGACGTCAACGACTCTTGTATCTCCTCTTCTCTCATGACGGAAGATTGCAGTCTTCCAATCTGAGTCCACTGGGTAGTAAGTCAATCTTTCCCAACGAAACGCGTCAACAAAGATGACAATCACTTACACTGATGGATCGGGCAACCACCACACCTTCTTCATCTTCGTCCAAATGGATCATGGTGGCTGTTCCAGACAAGCTCAAGCCGGGATCTCCCTCCTTCGCCCCAATGGCTTGCTTCTTTCAAAAAAGCAAATCAGTCACACTCATTGCAATTTACTAGATATTTGGAGACCTCTGTGGGAGTCTATAACTCTATCTGAAACCCTCCATCAACTATCCCCTCTGACTCCTTCACCATGAGCATCTGCTGCTTGAAGGACAAGAAATCGCTGAGAGATATGAGCAGGTCCAGCACTGCACAATCCTCAATGAAATCTACGAATTCAAAGCAACACCTTGCAAAACCACAAGGTGTGAAATAACATGGAAATGGCAAGCAACAGTAACAACAAATACATTCAACTACTATACCTATATTTTCCGCTTCAGAACCTTCACGTCAAAACTAGTGACCTGGATGTGTGCTATGGCCATAACCATCGTTGATGGTGTGGGCCCCTTTTGGTCATGAATGGGATTGCCCACCTGACCAGCTCCCGCTGGTCGGGATCCACCAAAAGAACATCTCACCCCAAACTTATGGCTGTTCTGTGAGGCGTAGTCGTGTGACAATACAATACTCCTTGGAACTGATCATTTGAGCGATGAGCTAAGTCATATCGATGCACAGGAAATGAGCACGGTACAGAAATATAGAAAGGGTCAAGTGAGAGTCAAGTGTGGGGCATCTGTAGCAGGTAATTACTAACAACTTATCCATGCTATGCCTGCAGGCATGTCAGGGTAGCTTCGCAGCCTTTCAAAACTCAGACTCAAGGGTGCAAATCCATCATGTCTGCACCGCTTGGCGACCCATCCAATCCGCTTGGCGCCAGACGATCTCATCTTCACCTGAGAGAACACAAACAACATGATGAACATGAACATATTATCCGGATAGAGAACAAAGAAACGACATTCTGCGCAAACGACATGGACGGACAAAAAAAAAGAACAAACACAAAATAATAGAGAAACAAGGAAGACGGTGCATGGAGAATCGTGTGGTGCTGGAGCCGTGCAGTGGACAGTGGCGCGGTTTCAAAGGAACACCCGGATGTACCGTGTCAAACGCCACAGGGCTCCGTTTGCGCAACAGGTTTTATGCATATTCAAAGCATCTTCAAGACCAGCTGAACAAGCTGAACAAATCTGAATTCGATTGGATTCTGAAAAGAGCCGCAAAGTTGCAGACTTCTACACTGAGACTACTAAGACTAATGTTTAAAAAGAACAGAACTTCTGAGCTGTCACACATACCCACCCTCTTCGAAACCTTTCAAAAAAGGTATGAATTATTCACGAGAGTGGCCATATTCTGTGGAGGGCCAATCATAAGAAGTCATAAGGACATATAATAAGAACAATAATAAGAACAAACACGCACGTGTCCAATCCCGGTAATAAGTAAGCATTATCTGTATCAAAGGTTGCTACCAAACATGAAACCAGTTTACACTAGTTTAAACATATTCAACAAAGAAGCCTGGTCACACCTGGGTCTGAGAAGAGTCTTACTTCCACCCAGTTCCGATCCTTTGGCTTCCTTTGATCTCCTCTCCTTCAGTTCAAACGCTCCTCTTTCGGGGGACCCGCCTGGCCCGGGATTCTTCTTGATGGTTCGTGTATTTGGCCCCGCTTCATGAGTTGGAACTCTTGGCACAGTTGGAACCCTATGGTAGATAGACCCTGGTCCAGAAACCATGTGTGATGCTGAGTCTTACCAAACAAGAAGAGAAGAACATGTTGCACGTCGTGTAGAACCAAAATCATCGACATGGTTAGGGATTGTGACATCGTGCAAACAACTAGAGCAAGCGCCCCCCAAACCAACGTTAGAATGATGAAACATGGGAACCCTTTTCATCCTGAGCGATGCTATCTATATATTCTTGACCAACCTGTTACCATAGCTCTTAGATTCTACAAGATGGGATGTACCTGACAAGCTTAGCTGCTTAGCTGTTAGCTTGACGAACCAGTGTTTTTGACCAAGATTCAAATGGGGTGTACCTGCATGGACGACCCCTCACCCCATCCTCTCACCGCTGGTCACCGCTCCCGCTCACCGGTGCCTCGTTGGGCCAGTTCCTCCAAGAAGACGCCCATCGAGAAGCTCAGTCGATGCGGAGTCAGTTGGCTTCAGCTCGAGCGGTGCCAGCTGTGCTGCAAAGGCTGTTTCAGAAAGGGATGGTCAAAGAAAGATGTTACAAGAATCCGACTGGTGGAGATCTCGAAAGCTGGGGAACAAATTTTACAACGGTTCTGAGCTTACTCAAACCCCGCGGGTTTGTATTAAATTGTATTCATAGTCTTATCATGAGGGTTCAAGATTCGCGATCCACTTGAAGACCTCTGAAACCAATGATCGAAGAAAGTTACTCAGGCACCGTGCCATATCAGCTACCCAGACAAAAGGCCACTGCAAGGATAGTAAATACCGATATGGCTTGCAAACACAGAAGCACCTCAAACAGAAACCAATGCATTTCCCTCAATTTGAGCAATACCAGGAGTGATAAATAGAACTTCATATCATAAATAAATATATATAAAAAAACATATATATATATATTAAAATGTCTTGAACCAGTTCAGCTCAGACTCCAGTCGTCCAGAGTGGAATAGGTCTATATTTAGTCTCACTATATAGACAGAACAGTATCAAAGAGGTTTAACATGTCTATCTGGGCAAGTATCAGCAACGGGCCACCCCCCAATTCTTTTTGGCCACCCAAGGACTTCTTTGGGAGGTCTCCCCATTCGAACACCCGGAGATTTCTCGGGCATCCCAGGCCCAGGGATGGCGCTTGTCATCTGCTTCTCCAGGTGTCCCTCAATGAGTGCCTCAGACTGAGACGACGAGTGCACGGGCCGTGGCATACCTTAGTACGGTAGTTTTGAGACTTCAAGTTCAACATGTCTGTCATTCAGATGTTTAACGTGTACTTAGTAAGTAAAGAACGGTGAGGAAAGATCTGGACCAGGACTCGGTCACTCGGTGATCTCATCAAAACCCACGCGCCGTTTGTGTGAATCAACGACGGAACAGGCAGTTCTCCCGCACGTGCCATTGTTCGCATGCAGGCTCGCTTTGAGGGTTTGCTCCCTCCAGTTTATGCTTTCTCAAAAATAGTGACAGGCTTGTACCCACTGCTTCTAGTATTGAGACACACAAACAAGGTATGTCCATATCACTGACGGTATATCCTATCCATCTTCAAACAGGAGTCTCTGTTTGACATGTTGAACATGTTGGTGTTGCTCCCAAAAACAGCTCTCCCGCCTGCCGGCCCGAAAACGAGCAACAAAAAGCTACCATGCCCTCGTGTCATGCCCTCCAGAGTGCTCAGTGCTGTCAAGGTGCAGAGTACTGGTTAAACAAATCGGTGTAGATCAGCTTGTTCTCTTCAGTGTCCTGCAATTTCTCAGAGTCAAATGATCTGGAACTTCTGGACCTTCGTCGAACCCCAAGGGAGTCAACCCATTCTGCGTGCAAAATGGCAGGCCCCTTTGCTCGATGGATCGCTGCTGTTTCTCTCTTGTTTTGCAGGTGAGGTCAGATGTGCACAAGCACTTCATGTGAGCAGCCCGGCCATTTCACCTGGTAGACGATCCCACAAATACACACCCACTCGGATGTTCTGAGACCCTCCGCCCCTTCATCTCCCCCCGTGGCCGAAGCGGTTTGAGGAGGTTAAGGAAAGGTTGCTCCTGCATCACCATGGTGACGGATCGATCACTTCACAACCAGAACGGCATGGTATGCTACGCCATCGCTTCACAATAACAAGAAATTCTACCCCCCTTCGCGTGCGCTGGACCGGCTTTTTGTTCCCTCAATGACTCAATGACACATGAACTCCGGGCAAGGGCGGCAAAAACGGGACACAAGTGAAATACAGCGAAACGCCACTGATGCTGGGAGCGGGAAGGTGATCGCATCGGCCCACTCACGCACTTTCAGGCATCGCCATGCTTTCTTACGCCCGGAAGGTTTCCACTCAAAAATGGAAGTTCATCCAAGAGCATTCGTGTCGGCTCTGGGAGTTGGGGTTCCCTGTAATCATTGCAAGAAAACTTAATGATCAACTAACTTCGGGTCTATCCTATTTCCTACAGTGGATGATGATGCCAAAACTACCTGTTGATTCAGGAAGACTGGTCCAGAAGCCTTCTAATAGCCAGTAAACCATCCATTTGGTATGTCTTGGTCATGTTTCATCCTGCCATCAACCTGAGCTTTCACTTTCAGCGAGGCACGTGCCCCACCTCGAAGTGGTGGCAGTGCTCTCTGCAGAAGGCATTTAAGACCTCCTGCGGCCGTTTCGGCGCGCGCTGTGGGGCCGTTCTTCGGCGTCGGTCGTTCTGTCTTGAGCTGACGAGGACGGCGTCAGCGTCCGAAGGCGACGCTGCAGCAGAAAAGGAGACCCGGACGGGTGATGGAGTGAAATTCAAAGATCAACTTTGGACGAAGAAAGATGTGTTAGTCCAAAGTGAGATGAGTTCAAAGAATCATGCAGGTGAGAGGATTACATGAGAATCATGAGACGAAAGACAAATACCTCAATGAGGCAAAGCTGAGAGCAATTGGAATTTAGGAGACGGCATTGTGGTTGATGAAAAGAATACAAGTGACAATGTGAGGACAGAACCAAAGCGGAAGATGCTTAAACAACAGAATGTAAGCAACGCAAGATGCAAGATGCAATCAAACCGTCAACAGTGTGGAAAAAAGTAAACAATAAACATGTACGAAGAAAAGTTGAGCGGCATTGGTGGAACAGCGGCATTCGAGCCGAGGAAGATCACCTAAATGAAGCCATGCTCGGCTCGCTCGGCCCTCCGCAATACTGGACAAAACGGTTCCTCCCCTCTCACTGGGAGGGGGACCAGCATGCCAAGGAGGCGGGGTTAAGGGAGTGATCTATGAATATCTTGAGCATGATTGATACAATCAATCTTGTTGGAACATGTCTAGTCACTAGTCACTAGTCCCGTTCCAAAACATTTTGGTTAAAGCACCTGAAACTCCATCTGGTGGTGCAGGCTTTCCTGAAAACTAGTTGTGCTTGGCCATTCCTTCCCGAACCCTTTGCTAAGTGTCCAAAGCGCAACAGGCTGAAAACTCAGCGGACAAAACCTGGAAGTTCCAGCCCGCTTTCGCCCTCCTTTCTGTAGGATTTGCAGCAGCTTTGGAACCCTCTATCGAGCACCATCGAGCACTGTCAGCCTGAAAGGAGTCATCGAGCACAGCCTCTTGCAAGGCTTCAACCTGGCAACATCCAGGACTCACAAGGGCTTTCCTCAGTCCTACATTGACTTCAGGAAAACTAGGATTTTGTTTGTGTCTGAAAATTGAAAAACTAAACACATCAAACTCCTGTATTGGACAATGTATCAACTACCTAGATAGAAACCCTGGAACACTCACTTGTCAACCCCACTCATATGAACAAAAATATAAAGGATTGATAAAAGCTCCATGCACACACACAAAAAAGAAATGCTACTACATCCGCTACATTGTTAACGCTTTGCTCATTTGGATTTCTTTTCCCTTTCAGTCGGACCGATCGGACCGACCGGCCGGCCGGGTCCGGTCAAGACCGTAACTCGGCCTGGCGATCGAAGGCGAAATCCTCCACATCGTCGGGGCCACCGGTGATGGTGAAGTCATCATCCTAGATCCACATGGAGCCGGGAGGAGCTCGGACGATGGGACGATTTCCCATGACGAAGCAAATCATCACCCGGGAAATCACCTTGGAACCTGAGGCCTGGAAAATCCTTGGAAGATTAACTATCTTCCAACATGAGCAGTTCTAAGGAGTGTTTGTGGTTGTTCAAATGATATTTCAATCAGAAGATTACTGTGGGGATCCGAACCAAGTCTCTTGCAATAGGAGGGTCATTTCCGAATTATCGTCTTAGTCAGCAGAGGTGCACGGTTGCGACTGCATCGTTCTTGCGATAGGGGCGCAGCAAATTTTGTGTGTTTTTCTGTGACAAATCGATGGAAGAGCAGAATTCATAGCGATGATTTCTGTGTCCCTAGGATATTCTCTCCCGAGAGTCTCACTCTATCAGAGTATGTCTAACTGGCTAGGCCAGGCTTTTTTCCAAGTGGGCGAACCGGCGAACCTCTCTAGAATCTAGAATGAATATATATATATATGTATATTTATTTATTTATAATATATATAGTGTGCCATTTGTCGATGTGTCCACCCAAATCCATTGAGGACTGGGGTTCTGACTCACATCCACATCTGTAAACTTGTCTAGGTGAAGGGGGATGAATGGGAATGAGGATCATGTTTGGGTTGGATGGCTACACGGCTACAATCTGACTTAGCGTCCCGTCGTTTCGGCAGGGTTGGTATATCCCATACATAGACGATGAAATCGTCTCCTGTAGCATCTGTGGCAATGGACATAACACAACACAAACAAATGGCATATATGCAATGAATTTGTACTTGATCGATCGGCATTCACCAGATTTAGAAAACCACAGCTGACTGCTTGCTCCTCACCAGTGCCACTGATCATCCTGCAATCGCATTCAACCGGCGCAGCAGTGCACAGTCAGGGGACAATTGGTGATGGATGGTTGGTTGAAACAAATGCACCCAGAAATCTTATCCACATGAACAGTTGAACCGTTTTCGGTGAGCAAAAGCAAAACAAGAGTAACAACCCTGCAAACCAACCACCCACTGCAGACCGCGTCGGGGACTTGCTAGTCATCTCAAGTCCCTCTTGAGAATTCCTCGCACGGTGAACATAACGCTTTCTTTGCGCACGGAAGTGAATCTCGAAAGTCCATATCGTTCGATGTGATCAAATTTCTGGTTGTAAGTTGTATGTGTGTTCATCCTTCATCAAGTACATTTAACACTTGATGTGCATGCCGCATGCCTGGTTTGCAGACAGAATCCGACAACAGTTCACACTGTGACTCCAATGCGGCTCGGACTGGAAGAGGAGAAATTCATGAACAACCTCTCCAAAGGCTTCAATCATGGACTTCCACTCTGGAACTGATACCGACTCATATCCTCCGGCCATGAAGCTCATCACATGCGAAGAATCGACACTCTCGGTGAGTCGAAACGGGAACGCCGCGCCCCGGGTGCCCCGCGTTGCTCGGTACCCCCACTCGGCGTGGAGCTCCGCGCCGTCGTCGGGCGAATCGACGATGTCCACGAAGTCGTCGCCCTCACCTGGGAGCGATGGACCTGGAGATGAGAAGGACCTCTAATAAGGAACCTGAGAGGTGTTTTCTTCCCAAGAAGAGAAGGGCAACAGAACAGAACAATGAGATGGCTGTGATGGCTGTTTAGCTCAAAAGCTGGAGCTCTAAACCCTTGTAGCTTGACCTCAGTGCCAATAGTGCACCAAAATTAGGTTCAGAGCCCCGGTCGGTCTAATTCGTCTGTAGTCATTGATCCTACCCCTGGATGATCTCTTTTCACGTCGTGTTCTCTTTCTGTCTTCATTGTATGTTCCCTATGGCTCCAACCACATCCTCAGAAAGGTAGTTAGACCCCCCAAGCCCACCCCAACCACCTTATGAGGATGTGGTTGGAGCTCTAGGTGGTGGTCTCCACTCACCGCCTGTTTTTCGGGCTTGGTGGCGGCGGAAACACCCGGGTCCCCCGGGCTTTCACCCTTAGCCATAGTAACTGGGGAAGCATGTTTGGTGTTGTTTTGAGCTATGACGACCAAGTGACTTCGAGACTCATTAATTAGCTAAAAACATCTAAACTATTCAACACTCACCTGACTCTTTGGGTGCCAATATAACTCTTTGGGTGCCATGTCTAGTCAGTGGCTGTCATCTTTGGCCAGAAACACCCTGTGTACGTTGGACAAGACTGGCAGGTCAAGACCGGTCGTTTGAACAAAAAATCACCCAAAAACCAGGGGATCGGTGGACATGCATGGGATGGGTGGACCACTTGGCCACTTGGGTTCATACTCTTTGTCTTTGATAGCCCAAAACATGTTGTTTTCATTTGTTCGTGGTGCGAAATTCCATGACAAACCAACAAAAATGCTCAATTTGTGAAGAACACTCAACAGATCTCAACAGGATTTCCCCTTGAAAAAGAAGGAACATGAAGGAACAACGTTGTTTTTTCTCAAGCATCTCTACACCAGGTGATTTTTTACCCCTTGGATGCCAAGTCTTTCTTGCAATTTGGATGGCTCAGCTCGCTGAGTCGAGCACTGGGCGCTTTGGGTGCTTCCCGATAGCCAGCCTCAGGACATGAACAGTTGAATCATGACATGAGGTATCAAACTGGCTCGGAGAAACCATTACGACTATATTATACATGAGACTGGCATGATGAGGATTCTTGCGGACCTTGCATGGTCTTCAAGTCCCATGGCATCCTTCAGTAGCTCACCAGTTCTTCCGCGAACGTCTTCATCCACGAACGTCTCATCATGTCTGGCGAAATCCTCTCCAGACCACGCTGCAACTTGCTGGGAAAAGACAAACCAAGTGGCAATCGTATCGAAGCCATTACCACTCAAAGGTTCACCCATTGCCGACAGCATTGGCAACACTCAAAGGTTATTGCCAATTCCAGCATCTGAATGGGCATACTTTTGTTTGGCTCTGCTTCAAGTGGCTAGTCGGTAGATGCAACAATGCAAACATGAAGCCACACAGTCGCACAGCTCGAAGTCGAATACATGGAAATGCCCGGTTGGCGTCTTAAGCAGAAGTGGGCCAAAACCCAAAGCCTTGCATCTAAACGGTTGAATTCAGAAACTCAAAGAAGAACGTGCATGAATCATCGAAGGTGTGGAAGAATTCAGTCCCTCTTCTGGAATCACCTCCCCCTTTTTGCTGGCTCCAAGCCACCCCAGTCACCCTCAGTGGCCCAAGTGCCCCAAGTCTTGTTTCTCTATGTTTCTATATCTCTCTGCCTTGGGGCTCTGAGATCTTTCCACTGTCTCATGGGTTTTCGCCGACGGAACTTCCTCAACTAGACTCTTCCTCAACCGTCCTCATCGCCGTCTCTCGCTTTTCTCGGACTCTCACCATCGCCGTCCCCACATCCACCGGTCCTGCGTGAGAGCGGACAGAGGGGCACCCTGTGACCACGTCGCTGCATAGCAGACCGTCGCTGTGGAATGGCAACCAAAAATGACAGACACTTGATGGTTGTTTGGTTTGTTTGGGGGGGGCGCTGAATGTAGGTAATAGATACCAACATATACCATCATACAACTACCACGGCATCAACGAATCAGTTTTGATGCAGTGAAACATCTAATTAGAGCTGACCTGCGCTTCTGGTCCTCGAGCTAAGGTTCTGTCTGCTGGAAGGATAGCACACAGGAACAACTTGGACTGGAGGGAACAGGTCTCTGCCTCTTGCTATGTTTGGGTCTTGGGACGTCCGTCCTGTGCTTAATGCTTACAAACATGTCTCGGCCTTATCATGCTTCACTCTTGTCGTTTTGCAGTCTCATGCCTAGCGGGCGGACTGTTCTTGGCCATCTGAGGATGTCGACTGACAAGCTCAATTGCTGCTGTCTTTGTTGGTTGGGTTGTTGTTGTTTTCCTTGTTTTTCTGCCATGGTGCATGACACTCTTTGAGTCTAACTTATAATGGGCCACGTGGTCATGACACATTTTGATATCATGCTCAGAGCCAATCAACATGGGCGCTACAAATTTGAGGGTATGTCTGTCAAGTGCGTTGGCAACACGTGCAGACTAGCCAATGATGGCATCTGATATTCAATACAACACATCATGCACCACCTCAGTATCCTCACAAATACACCTGTCGTCCTATCCTCAGTCCGCACTCCAGCTCCCTGGAGTGAGGCCTGTTTCCTGAGCTCACAAGCCTGCCTTTTCTACTCAGCGCAAAGAGAAGCCTGGACGGCGATTGGACTAGCATCCGCCCGTGGCCCTCACTGAAAACAAAAACACTGAGTGGTTGCAACATCTACAGCAACATATGCTCACAATGACTCGGAATGTGTTGCCACAAAGGTGTGGGACTTTGTCACAGAAGTGTGGAACCGGCACTCAACACAAACATCTCTTGCATTTGTTCTGAAGGGCAATGAAAACAATGAAACAGCTAGTGATACCACAGGATTCGAGAAAGCAAAGTGATGGACCGATGGACCTGATCCTCTGGATGTTCCTTGTGGACTGGCGCTTTTCTGGTTGGAGGTCAGGACTTATCGTCCTTGACCTCCGAAAACAACCACAACTCAGTTGCCTGTGACGACTAGGGATTTCAGCCAGCAGCCATCTACCGTTGGGTTATGAGTTATGAGATGTTGTGGGTTGCTTGCTTTTGACCACCAAAAGGTGAGGGCCACCTCTCTTGCGCCCTTGCATTAACCAAAAACGCTCCGCCCGCGAGATCTCGCTCAGGTGGACATGAACCTGGAAGGTCTGGCTGGAGACAGTCGAATTGGTGAAAGCATGTGAAAGCAAAGTTTCCCAGATTACTGGAATGAGCTGCAAATGGTTACTTGATGACAATCTTCTCCATATTATATGTCAGTGTCCGACTTGTACGGGATGTTTCGATAGGACACACAGCCGCTAAACCTATCAGGACATACGGCAAAACCTATCGGAGCCCACGGAACAGCCGCTGCCTGACCCTTGAGGTCAACTGATACCTGAGCTGGTCGCCGGAAAAGCTGGAGAACCAAATCATCCAGTCACCGGTCTGTTAATTATATGAGCTCCAAATTGGGAATAGTTTCAGCGCGACCACAACACAGCAACCAAACGCTACAAGTGGCTCTTCAAGAGTAAGACTGTCTCACTATTATACGCTTCTTAAGTGTACCTCTTCAAATACCATATCCAATGGAGACATGTCCAAGAATGAATCAATATGATTTATATAATACATATGTATACTGTATAATTATATGATATATCTGCAGTGTTGCTCATCAGAGCTTCGTTTCGATGCAGCCCCAGTGGCTGAAAAGATGCAGCCCAACGGGGCCACAGAGTTGCCAAAACGCGGTGAAACAACGCACGGCCGGGTGTGTGGATCCCTGAGCCTTCCTAGGGATTCGTCGTTGGTAACCAAATACCAAGCAAACGTTGGGGTGGTTGAAAAAGGGGATCGATGTAGGTATAGCTGGACCAGAGAGTCCTCTACGCCAGAGTGGCACATACAATGTATACTGTATGTATCTATCAGCTATCAGTGAACAACGCCGTGCTACTAATGTTCTTATGTCAGCTTTTGGACGACTCCCATCTATCTTCCATGTCGGAGTCTTTGGGTTAGAACATATGATTCGTGAACGAATACTTGTGGCCATACTTGTGGCGAACCACACACCGCTGTGTTCTCTCCTGATCTGCGTTGAATTCTTCTCAGCGCGTTGAAGTGGACCACATTTTCATGGGCATGATTTGACATGCTTGGTAAAGCCAGGAAGGCTTCAGCAAGTCGCTGGAAGGCCAGGGACAAAAACACTCACTGGGGTGCAAGCTGAATGGTGCAACGGCGAAAGACATGATTGATCAAGGACCTTTGCTTCATGTTTCCTCATGTTTGCCATGTGTCATGAATTCCCGCGACTCATGTTCACCTTTACTTTGAGATGCACCCATTTCATGCTACTTTGGCTTGTCGAAACCACTCACATTGCCCGCCTTGCTTGGGGGCGGCCTGCACAACGAACAACGAACACTTTCACCAGCCATTCTCTTGAAAGCATCCCAAAAATTAGAAAAGTGGTTGCCTTTGCAGCAACAAGTTCACTACAGACTGTACTTTGCTCATCTTGGTTATATAACCACGTGCAAAAAGTTCCCTAACAATATACACATGGAACTGGTGCAAATCTATGTCGGGACCTCGTCTTTAAGACCATCCCTGCAACCATCCTTCTTGCGCATGATGTCATCGGGTATGCTCGATGCTCTCACATTCTGAGACAATGACTGGGTGAGCTTAGCCAGAACCCTGTGAGCATGGCTGTAGGGTATGGCTGTTCAAATACAACTCCATCCCCAATCCAACGCAAAGGTGAGCACTTCGTAGTCAAACCATCAACTGGTTTAGTGCATTGATTATCCAACAACAAACATGAGTAAATTAGATATATATATATATAATTAGTATATAAATTTAATATGAAGAGTGTTCATATCAACTATAGTCAGAGACACTGCTGCCAAACTGCTGCCCGCTGCCACCTCCGAAAACGAGAGCTGCTTTGGCCTCAACGGCAGGGCTCTTGGCAGGTTTACAAAGCAGAATCCACGAACCATTGAGTTTTCTACAGTATATGTCATAATAGATAGATACTGATAAATAGGTACTTTATGGTGGTTTGGTATTTGAACGGTTCAAAGAGATGTCCTACGGCCTACGTAACACGATCTGGACCTTGGGGCACTTTCCAAAACTTCTGTCTTACCATCTGGACCCGACCAAGCCTCGACCTCATGTGTAGTAGTCCTGTGGGCCTGGATTTCGCATCATTTCCCCCACTTGATCCGTTGGACCAGTTCTGCGTTGCGTTGACTTGCAAATCCGGCCAGGAACGGGCAACTGTGGATGCGACCC